CCAAAATCTCCTTTTGTTGGTTTTTCTGCTTCTAATAACATCTCTTCTATAACCGTTGGGGCACCTATCTGAAGCCCCAAAGTGTGTCAGTTTGATGTGAAATGGAATTACGAGACAAAATAAAAAGACACTGAACTAAATGCAATTCTCCAAGTCTGGTGTCTGGTCCCAAGTGACCATGATGTTAGAGATATCTAAGGGCAGTTTTCAGCTTCAACAAAACCAGATTCAATCCCTGACTAAGGATCTCAATTCAGCTCTGTCCCTGCAGTGGTCTGAAAACGACCTTGATGGAGTCTTATGGCCCAGCTCACCCTCTACACTGGCATGATAACATTTATGGGCATCTGTGAAGTGTTATAAAAAGCAGATATTTTTGAGGTTAAGAGGCAAGTACTGACTGAAGCAGGATTTTTAACAGAACTTGTGGACTAAAACACTCATAATCAACAAACCTTTCCCTGCTGTGCTGACCTGCCTTTCTCTCTCTAGTCTTCCTGACCTGATTGGTGTCTGGACAGGGTCTCCTCCATAATTGCTGAGTTCCAGTAGGAAAAGGTACACTCTTCGGGATCCTAAAATTTTAAACCTCTAAAGTTAGGATGTTGAAAACTAATCAACATTACTCATTGATGACATCATGAGCATAGAGGTTAAAAAAAAATTACTTGTTGTGCAAATTGTCCTGTATGTCAAGTACTTTCTATTCTAACACTCACACACCCCCCGGAGGGGGGGATATGAATGTACCCAAGCCAAGTGCTTCTATATGAAAACCAACAAAATGGAAACTTTTTCTGATGCCTTTATAACCAATGTGAAAAGTACCTATGCCATATATTGTTAATTAAAGTCCTTAGAATCCAGTCCCAGCATCAACAGAGAATAATCTAATTTCTAATTCTTTCTTAAGAAGATGAAGACAATAATACCAACATCAAGGCTAAGTCTATCAAAAAATATGGCAATACAGTACTTGACATGACATAACTCTAACTTAATCTAAAATATAGCACTAACATTCCAAAAAGAGTTATTTAAATACTTAACTAACTTTGTTTTATATAATTTTTGGGGGGTTTTGGTTTTTCAAGGCTGGGTTTCTCTGTGTAACAGAGCCGTAGCTATCCTGGAGTTACTTTGTAGGCCATGTTGGTTTTGAACTCATAGAGATCCTCCTGCCTCTGCCTCCCAAGTGCTGAGATTAAAGGTGTTTGCCACTATGCCTGGCATATCTAGAATCTTAAAAGTGTGTTTAAAACCTTTAATTTTTCTATCAATAAAAGATGAAAGTGAGTTTAAAAACCTAATGCATGCAACCATCATTTTTCTATACTTTTTTAATTACGTCTCCAGGAAGAAAAGCTAGTGTGAAGAATAGAAATATAAACATGTTTTTGTTTGGGTCCCAGGTGTGGGATGTGGGACTGATTCAGATGGTCACAGCAGCAGACTATTTGCTTCGTGTGGGCTCTGAGAGGAGCTCTTTGCCAGCCACAGATAGTTTAAATCTGAGGACTCTGGAGAGAGAATAAATGCCAGAGCCCAGAGAGTTAGAAGATCCAAGAAAGAACAAGGCTACTCCTGCTTCCCCCCCTGTTGCTCCTGGTTGCTGTTGTGAGACAAGAAGTTGGAGATCTCCTGAAACAAGGATTGGACTGGCTCACAGGAGCCTGATGACCCTAACCAGCAGGAAGCAGCTAAGAAAGAATTGTGGCCCCTCTCCCACTAACCCTTTCTCTCTCCTACCTGGTGTTGGAAGGGATTGGGGTGGAGTGGGGAGAAAGAGATTTTTTTAAAGCGTAAATAAAAGAGTACCCTAACAGATGTGGAATTAATTTTTAACAAGAAAATAAGATTCAGTCAGTGCTTCTGCAAACATGTAAGAACAGCAGTAAAACGATGGCTGAGGGTCAGCACCGCTCATTCACATCTCTACCCTGGTCACTCCAGTACCATAATTCAGTACATGTCAGTCTTGCTTAGCCAAACCCACAAGTACTAAATCCATGCCCACCAAGGACCTTTTGTACCCACGGTGCTCAGTAGGTGAGAGACAGAAACATCCAGGGGTTATTTATAAGTGATGCTATTTATACTTTATCAGTTTTAATTTTCACTTTTGCCACCTTCATAGTGTTTGTAACATTGCGGGGTTTTTTTTGGGGGGGGTGGATTGTTATTGTTGTTGTTTTGTTTTTGTTTGTTTTGCTTTAAGCTACTTTGCTTTCTGTTCTTGGTGAGTGTGTTATCTTGATATTGATTCTCAAGTACTCTAAGCTCTCTACTTGCAGTTTTGGATATGTTGGGAGATTGGGCCACATTCCATGCGTTGCCTTTGAAATATGAGCACAACACTATGACTTCACATTTCGTGAGCACGCCAACCAAGCTGAGGCTGAGAGATCCAGCCACGACACAAGGCAGGCCTTTCATCCAGCCTGCTTCAAAACTGCCATAAATTATTGCTGTTGGATGTATTGCCAGGACTCTGGAGCCAATTTTTATGGGTAGGAGCATTTGAGGAGTATCCGCTACCACTCTACTGCCCAATAGGCTATCCAATATCTCTCTGTGACAGCCCGTTTATACTATGGCTTCTGCCCCATGCAGGGGAACAGTTGTTTTAATTCTTGAAGGCTGGAAAAGATAAACTGTGGGTGTCAGAGAACTAATACTGAAGGAGGAGATAAGTCAAACCACTTCAAAACTGCTTTCAGAGTTTCAGGCTACATAGACAGTAGCCCTGAAACTGAGAAAAACCTCAATTTTCCTACATTCATCTTTGAAGCCTACAGTAACTGGAAGAATGGCTATAAGGAATACTCGTGCCTTCATAAATAGAAAATTTAAGTAATGTCCCACATTAGCTTGGCTTTAAGTTCCTGAATAGTCCTCCTCATCTTCTCTTTATTCCTCTGATAGCCACGTCTTCATTCTTCACTTTTAGATCTTCCAGAGACACTGAGATGTTACTTTCATCAAAGCAGAGTATGACCAAGCTGCATGAGGGGCTGTTACAGGACAGAAGAACCATTGAGTCCTATCATCTCCAGTTGGGTTGGTTTGATGAGCAAACGTTCAGCTTTTCACATGATTTTTGCTGGGACATCAGAGTCAATGTGTTCCTTTGATGAGCGAAGGCAGCTTCGCAAAATACTCTGTGTAAGGAACTGGATCCCGGATTACGAACATGGTCTGCTTTGTTCTTCTGGCAACTGGTTCCTGTCTGAAACATTCCTCCATTGTAAGCCTCTGTCTTTTCTCTTCCAGCCACAGCCCTCAAGCTACAATAACAGGCTCGTGACTTTTTTTTTCAGATACCAAAGTTATGAATACTCTTTCATGAATATTTTCCTTTGAAGTCACTCTTCAAGAAGCAGAAAAAAATAGCCACACACATTGCAGGGTCGACACTCATAGGCAAGCCATACAGATTGATCTCTTAAAGGCTATAAAATGCTCCAAAATGCACATTTAAAAATCCCAAATGCAGATTAGGGTATGGAGCCGCGCCTCGACAGCAGCAGTTCTCAAGAAGGAATGCTCTGACTGGCATGAATTACACAAAACGTACTCCAAAGCTTACTATCCAAATCCATGCCCCCCAAAGCCTCTCTTTATGACATCACGGCTGCTTCCCTCGGATTCATGCAGGCTCTTGGTGAAGCAGAACAGGGCACTGCTGCAAAGCAAGGAGGCCTTTGCTGCATTAAGCTGCTTATGTTTTTGCTTTCCCCCGTATCCCATTTCAACATATCCTCCAGCCTTCTCTGAAAATAATTCTGCGAATGCCAACTGCACAGATTACAGGAGAACTCCTATTAATTTCACTCTGCCTCAAAAGGAGCTTATCATTTCGGGTTATAATTCCGTATGCAGCACTGTCAACGAAAATTCAGGTTCTGGGCTAAACTTACTCTCCTGTGGCCTAATATCCCTTATACTATGCATCATCAAGGCAGCTACTTATTTTCTGGTGTGAAAACAAGAATGTATCTTCCACAAACTCCCTTTAACTGTTCTTCTGTCATATAAAAAAAATTAATCTGGAAAACTCAGCTCTCTTTAATCCTGCTTTGTGGCTTAGATTCCTAGCCCTGGAAGCACTTGCGTTGATTTCTGTTTTACTCAAGCTGGTGCAAAAATAGCCTTTGGTATGGCATGAAAATAAATCTGCGTAGAGATGACTTGCTTCTGATGGATAACCCTGTGAAGGGAATCTTAACAACAGAGGATTCTAGAAAGGTGACCCAGACTGAGAGAATGTCCTGTGAAGTGTTCAGCATGCAACTGTCACTTTGTTTAACAGTAACAGTACTGGAACATTAACATTAACGTTCTGGACCACAGAATATGTGTGAACCTTAAGACCAGATTCTAAATTTGGGTTCAGATTTGGTTACATGATTTTAAAGAACACATTTAACTATTTGATGCGCCATAAAATAACGGTAACGACATCACCTGCCTCTTGAGGTGGTGTGAGGATTGCATTGGCAAAAATATACGAAGTACTACTGGGATCATCTGTCACTCATAATTATGTGTTGTCACTCAGTAACAATTTGCTCTTGATGAGGAGGCAGCTCTGCTGACGGAGTACTCGCTCAGCATGCCCAAAGCCCTGCTGTTCTGTCCCCCAGCACCTCATAAGCTGGCTGCAACGGCACATGTCTGTGACCTCAGCCTATCATCTCAGATGAAAATAGGATAACCAGAAGCCCAAAGTCATCTCGCCTACATAATGAATTCAAGACCAGCCTGGCGTAAATGAGACTATGTCTAAAAAACAAAAAAGCTAAGTGGGGTTGGATGATGGCTCAGTGGTTCAGAATGCTTGTTCTTGCAGAGGACCCAGGTTTTAGTTTCCAGCACCGACACGGTGACTCACAAACATCTCTGACAGTTTCAGAGGATATGATGTCTTCTTCTGACCTCACAGAGCATCAGGTGACACTTTCTCATTTATGAACATGGAAAACAAACTCATAACCCTTAATTCAGACTTTAATTTTCAAGAAATAAACTCCACAAAGCTTTCCTGAAGAAAGTTAAGAGCTGTCAAAGTACATGTCTGTGTTGTATTACATATTATGTAACACACTATATGAGATAACATATAAAACCACCACTACATATTGCACAACAGCATCATATTTAAGTACTGTTTAAAGTCTATGATATTGATAAGTGCATCTGATGTTATTTAAATATTTCATCCAAAAGAGTTTCAAAAACTATTTGTTTTTCATTTCTTGGCATGTTTCTTTCTTGTCGCTAGATGAAAAAAGAAGTCATGAAGGCATCATAGAATTCTATGCTTCACTGATTACATATTCAAAAATACCTACAGAATAAATCTATAGGACAGACATTTACATGCAACATTTATCTGGAATCCGATCATTTAAACAGTGTCTTGACTGTTGAAGTTGATACAGAGGCAATTACCACAAACAAAATTCAAATATTACAAGTGAAGATACTCCAACACAAAGACTTGAATGATTTTGTTTAGATTGTCAATGGTTGACGCGTTCAAATTTTCTTCATTGTCATCCATGGTGTGCCAGACTTCAGGGAAAGGAGAAGCTATCAGATGAAGAACTGGAACACCTAATACAAAAGAGGCAACTTGTAAGTTGGTTAAGAATTTCCAGAGGGTCAACTAGAAAGTGACTTTTTCGAGCAGAGGAAGCTCTATATCTTATAAGAAACTTGAAAATTCATTGTCCCACATGCGCATCTTCATGTCTTACTTCATATTTGAAGTATGAGTATTTCAAGGCTTTGGCAAACAAACTTTTATTAAGAAAGGGTATGACAGGCACCTACTACCTATAAGCTCTTGCTCTAGGGGTGGAAAGGAAAGACCTCGCCTATGTAGAGTTGATATTCTAGCGGAGAAACAAGCATGCACATATGAAACATAATCATGGGCAGTACTAAAGCTTTTCAAAAATAACAAAATGAGGTATGGGGACAAGAATAGAAAGCAGGCAGGAGCATTGTGAGGATCCAGGGAAGGCCCCCTGCAGAAGGTAACATTTAAATAAGAGGCACAAACCCAAGAAAGACAGGTCAGGCAAAGACCTAGGAATGAGCACTGTGGGCAACAATATCCCCAAGGACAAAGGTCATGAGGCTTGCCCCGAACAGGGAACAGCAAGATGGCCAATGTGGGAGAGCACAGAAAGAAGTGAGAAGAGAACTGGGAATTGATTTTGAAATAGAATCAGAAAATAGAAGTCATTTCAGGCCATGGTAAAGACTTTCCATTTTACTCTAGAAGACAGCAAACCACTAGAACTTTAAACAGTGTTAACATTTGATTTACATTTTTAAAAGATAAGTTTATTTCTGTGCAAAGAGAGAGAGAGAGAGAGAGAGAGAGAGAGGCAATAGTAAAATTTGGAGGCCAGTGGGGAGGCTACCTAAGAGTCACCAAGTTAATTTACACTTCCTCATCTAGACACAGGGTTTCTTTCTTAAAAGCCAGGCCACATCAAAGTTGCATGAAGGATACAGCCTAACTTTATGCAAAGCAAGGCAGAATGCTGGCAGGTTCTAAGATGGCCTAACTATATTATGGGTATGGAGAAACAAAAAGACCATCAAGAATTCAGAATGTCTTTCATGAGGAAAGAGAAGCCATGAATGAATGGCATAATGGCTGGATTAATTGATTTATTATATTTAACGAGTCGTGCCCATTCCTAAATTGTTGAAAATCGGGAGAAATGGAAATTAGTGTGTAAGTCCAGTGCTGTATATAAGGTTCAACGTAGATGTCACCTTGAAGACTTACACACTTGTGTGTACGATATCGAGGTGGACAGAGAAAGGACAGCATTAAAGGCAGCTCCCTATACTCTGCCTTGAGCAGCTGGATCAATGTTGATCGTTTACTAAAAAGGGCAAGACTAGGAAGGGATGCCATGCCACTTACTCTTCCATGTCAATGAACAATAATGGGCTCTATCATTTCATTGGATAATTCAAAGAGAGAGGGCCGGCAAAGGAATGACCATTTTGTTTCATTTCATTTGTTTGTATTTATTATCTTTAATTTTTGTACAATATATTTTGAACATTTTCATTCCTATTCCCTAGCATCTCCAAAATCTTCCCCAGTTCCTACCCTCCCAATTTCACGTTCTCTCTCTCTCTCAAAATAATCAAAACAAACAAAAAAAAAGCAAAAAAATACCAAAACAAAACAAGCAAACAAAAATCGGGCGTATGCACATACACACACACACACACACACACACACACACACACAAAATGGAGTCCATTTTGTGTTGCCCAATGGGGTCTGTCCTGGAGTGTGGTAATATACCCAGTGTCACTGCATTGGAAAACAATTATTTTATTTCTCCCTCAAGTGGGTATAAATTGCATATAGCTTTCTGGTTAGGAACAGGACTTTTTAGTTAGGGGCGTATCCAATTACCTGGTTAGGGGATTTTTTTTTTTTTAATGCATTACAGGCAGCATCTGAAAAGTACCTAGCACCAATATAGACTAGGTAAGGATGTGTCTAGATGTTGTTCTTCTCACTTAATTTGGTTTAATTATCTAACATCTATCTTGTAAATATATATTCAAAAAACACGTTACCCAAAACTTATTTATAGCAAAATATGTGTATTTCCTTTTACAGATAGGCTCTCATTCAAATCAATTTAGAGTCTTTTTTTAGATTCTTTAGCTGGGGATGGGGCTTCCAGACAGGATTTCTCTGTGTAGTCTTGGCTATCCTGGACTCACTTTGTAGACCAGGCTGTCCTCAGACTCACAAAGATCTGCCTGCCTCTGCCTCCCTGAGTGTTGGGATTACAAGAGTGTGCCACTGTGGCTGGCCTTTTTCAGAACTTTTAAATTGCTTTTATATAGGTCAAAACATTAATATATAAATTTAATTCAGCCATTCTTGGAAGGGAGTCAACAAAGGAAGCATGGGCTTAGCAATTTGAAGTGGGACCAATGTTATTCGGGTTTAACTTGTTTCTCGAATCCATGCAGCAGTTGGAGACCTGGAAACTTGCACTATTAAAGAAAGCTATGTCGTGGCACTGGGGAGCTGAGTAAAACTTAGAGACTAGGGGTGTTCTTCTTACACTAAGCAGGGGTAACTGCAGACCCCCAACTGGTTAAGATGAGGAGAATAAATGACTGTCGACTGTTAAGCCATAAATTAGACATCTGTATCATCTGAGGCTCAGTGAACATCAAAGAGAGATGAAAAAGATGGCAGGAACAGGGGGAGGATGGGTAGCATAGCATGAAATGCATGCAGGACGTGGCCACTGCGCTGTTAAACTCACAACAGCCGTGACCTTCCGAGACCTTCGTAAGATCATCATGTCATAGAGGGTGAAAGATCTCACAAGGCACCCCCCTCTCTGAGGATCTGTACATAGTTAGAATCGTTGTTGGGGGAAGAAGAGACATGTGGGTCAGCGGTGGACCTGTTGGTAAGGTGTTCTTAGCCTTCTACTCCTGTGAATAACCACCTGTCTGTCTTCCTGGAAGCAAACCTCAAGAAGCCCACTGGGTCATTAGATAAAGGACATGAAAGGGGAAGAGAGATTCTTTGGGAAAGATGAAGGGAATAATAAGAGAGGGAGGGATCAAGAAATGGCAAAGGGATACGTGTGTCCACACCACATTATATACATCTATAAAAATGTCATGAGAAACACTGTACAATTAACATATAATAATAAAAATAAAAGATAAAAAGAATGTATAAATGATACTGTTTTAAAATTTCAAAATGTGCATAAAATATAATAAATACAGTAGGCATAGTAGAAAAAACACACATTCACAATAATACACACACATAGTTACCTTTTCTTAAGAATGGAATGTGGTCATCTTGGATAATATTTCCATAACCAAAATTCTGAAAATACTTCCTCTCCAAAGAATGATCCTTGAGCAAACCCAATTCATAGAGTTCCTGTTCTGCAGATGGCAATCAGACAGTAGATGAACATCTACTTATCTATTTATCTGATCAACACTTAGAGTACATTCTTATTTAGGAAGCCTGAAACCTTATCACATGTGGAATTCTTCTCTAGGTATGTATCAGTGAACATAGCCACAGATAGGACAAAAGTGCCTGGGCTGCACCTTTGGAGTGGTGGAAAATAGAGACCAACAGTCACTCATGACTCTGGCTTTGCTAGTAAAACCCACTTTAAGAGTAGGTGCTCAATAGGACAATGGAGAGATTGAGAAGGAGAAAACAGGAGTCAAAACTCAGGTGCCAATGTCCATAGATGCAGATGGTGCATGGGGAATTCCTGCAGAGGAATGAGGAGCTTAAAAGTAAAACATTCAAGCAGAGGAGGATGAAGTATATCAAATGGCCACTCTGTGGGGGAAGGGTACCTACTATGACCGAAATCAGAGATTCTCCAGGTGTGGTTCCTGACCAGCGGCTTCAGCCTCACCTGGGAATGACTTAGAGAGGCAAGTTAGCTAATACTCTCTCGGGCTTAGTTAACCAGAAATTCTAGGGCACAGCCCAGTCATCCTTGCCTTAGTATGAACCCAGGGGGTTCTTTCTGGTCTATACGAAAGTTTGAGAACCACTGAGCTATGCAACCCATCGCTCTTGTTATCTTGTAACATGTAACTCGTGTTATACATAACCCGTATGTTGTTTGTTACGAGATAAGAGGAGATCATGAGATTATAAAACAGAAAAATAAAGCTCCCTGGGATAGCTGCTTTGTGATTGTTAAATTTCAAGGGTAAAACTGTACCAACTAGTAAACAAGTGTTATGGAATTTTAAGAACACTGAGAAAGCCCCAACTAACACAAAAAATAATATTCCTATTAATAACACTTATATTTCCTTAACAATTTTATGCAATTAAAGATATGGTTAAAAATATAAATCCCACGAAGGAGGACACCACAATGAGTTTCAATCACAATAAGGTACTATTTGTTGAGGTTTACATTTTGAAAAAGGAAATAAGGAAAGCACAGAGCCCTTGGAGAAAAAAGACAAAGAATGAAACAAATCTAAGATGGAAAATTAAATTAAATTCCAGAGTATCTTTTAGCATCATTTCTGAGAAATGATGTTTTGATGTTTGCATTTCAAAATAGAATTCCATCTAGGAAAATAATCTGGGCCTACTGAAGAATTCGGAATAATAAACTAATTGGTAGGGTAAGACAAATGCCAGTGAGGTATGTTAAATATTCAAATAGTGCACTTAAACCATAAATTTTGAAAGTTCCTTTTTTTAAGGTTTATCTGTTTATTTATTATGTATACAATGTTCTGCTTGCCTACCCACCAGAAGAAGGTTAAGAGAACTGGCTGTTCTTGCAAAGGTCCTGAGTTCAATTCCCAGCAATCACATGGTGGCTCATAACCATCTATAAACCATAAATTTTGGATTTTAACGTGTAGTGCTTGTCAGAAGGAAGAAACAACATTTTGCTCTTTAGTAACTGTGGTGCTTACCAATCGCTTGAAGTCTATTAAACCATCTGGTAGTCTTGGGGAAAAAATTGGGAAATGTTGGATTTGCAGCTCCAATTAAATCTAGTAAGACCAATAGATCCTAAGGGGGGAAAAACATTAATTTATCAGAATCACCCAAGTATGTATCAGACTCATCAATAGTGAAAAACAGTCAAAACTAAATACATTTTAATAACTGAGAATCACACGGAGAGCGATATAAAGGAACAAAGTGTTTAGTGACATTATTTGCTAACAATTTTAGAGAACATTTTAGATCTTGCTTATGCAATGTGGATAAATGGAGATGTATTATACACCAAATGAACATAACTAAGGGTGAATTAGAAACAGAGATTTGATGTGTATTTCATGGGTTGAAAGAGTACATTTGCTTTATGTCCACATGGGAGCTCAAACCTGTCTAATGCTCTAAGCCATTGTAATTAGTCATTTTTACCTTTAATCTGTAATGACAGGTGATCATGAGGTTGGAAGCTTGACTCATAAGCATGTAAGAGAAAAATTCCTTTAAGGGAAACTAGAGGCCTCATGATACTGGATCACCATTTCTTTGTGGAGCCGAACAAGGAGCTCACTCCAACAACTCTCTCAAGCCTCCTGGTTATAGTGTTCCACATTAAACCGATGTTCCTTAGCTTATTAGAGCCATAAAACACACGCAAGCTTGAGGGCTCCCTAGGAACCACCACCTAGATTAAGTCCTCCTGACTTAGATAAGTGAAATAATGTGTGGGTAACCACCTAACGTTAAGTGTGACACATACTGAATACATGTTTTCAGATTTCATGATTCCGAAGACAGAGTGTGCGTGAGTGACACTCTACATACACCTGTAAATACGTGATATACGTTTTTACTCATTTGGAAAAACGCTTGTTTGAAACAGGAACACATTCGTGAGATTGGATAAATGAATGGCCCTTTCCATCACTGTGGATCGTTTATCTGGACTGGTAAATAACTACTTCCTGAACCCTTTCGAGTCTCTCAGGCACAACTAAATGAGCCAAATACTGACTACCTGTCTTTGACCCACGGAGAGCTGTTAATGTATCTGAGAAGGTCGTGTTCACATAAGGATTGTCAGGGAAAGCCATAGCTCATTTGATTTATAGGGTGCAGGTCAGCCGCCTGGCAATGGGGTGCGTGGAGGCAGAGTGGGGGGCTTAGAAGGAATGTCAGAGATAAATGGAGAGCAGTGGGAGAAGTCTCAAGGTTCTAAGCTGGGGGAGGTAAGGACAGAGTGAAGATCAGGAGTCCCAGGAGGAGGTTACTGGTAGGACACAAAATGAGGATGAGTGAAGGTTGGATCATGTACCCTCTGTTTAGTAACAGCAAGCTTTTAAGGCACCCTCAAAATGTCTCTGCCCTCACACGGTAAATGCCACATCAACCTACCACATCAAGCTAACCGTCCGCACTCACTATACTGCTTTAAATGCGTGAGAATTTCGTCACTCTGTCCTCTTTGTTCTGTTCCCTGGGGTTCCCAGCTTCCTCCTCCTGAAAACGGCTTTTCTCTCTCCATACTACACAGTATTGCGGGGATGTGTTCTCAGTGAACCATACTGAATCTAATGACCCCCTAATCTGATTTTCACATCATTTTAATTAAGCTCAGCCAAACACAGCGTCTACCATAGACTCATTCTTCTTAGCTCTGGGATTCCTCAAAAATCCAGCGCATGCCAAGGAATGTTCTTCAGTAAACAGTGCTCTGAGGATTCCTGGCACTTGTAGGGCTTAACTTGGTCCTAGAAGCCTTTTCTCTGGAGACAGGGACTGAGCTACAAAGCCAAGGTAATTACTCAGACTAACCATGCCATCCAGTTGGTTGGTGCCTCTAGATCCAGGAGGGTGAGGGCTTGATGCCATCTTCTGGGCTAAGTGCCGGGACCCATAGAGAGAATCTTGAGGAGACCAGTGGAGAAAAGCCTCTTCACCATCAAAGAAAATCAGCCTGAGCGAGAGATCTGGCTTGGGACCAGAGACGTCCTGATAAAAAGAACAATTCAAAAACTAAAACAAAACCAATGGAAACTCCAACTCCAAACAATCACAGACCTCTGGACTATATTAAAAAGCACTTAGGGAGGACATACTGACCTGGGATTGTCTTCAGAGATATCTATAAACGAGATAGAGATATAGATAGATATATTCAAGATGGGTTCATAATGATCATTGGTGGAAAGAAAGAGCAAAAATGCTCCGGTCAGTTAAAAACTCACATTCTTTCCTAGTGACTGGGCAAAAAGATAGACGTCCCCGTGAAGAGAAGATGTCCAAACAAGTGAAGACGTGCTGAAAGTTATTCCACGCTGCTTCCACGCTGAACACCATCATGCCATGCAACCCCACCCCTTCTAAAATGAACTGCCTCACATTTGCTCTTGCTCCCTATGGAGCTGTTAGGCTACAGCATGGCTGTGAGGAACACTGTGGCATGCCCCAGAGCTCCCCCTCAGGGAGCTGCGTTGGCCCAGCTGCAGCCCCTCCTGAGCTGCACCTCCTGGGAGTGTCCTAATACCCTCTCTGCCTATTCAGGCACTGGAGCTTCTCTATAAGGCCACCACCTCCACAGCTCCCCAGATGTTGGCCGAGGCCGCTGTAAAACCTGCACTGCAGCTCTATTGCTCGCTCCTCCTAATCCCATTTCATCCCTCTCCCTGCTGCCAGTGTTGATCCAGGGCCACACCCTACTCACTGACCTGAATGCCCAGCCTGTGAATGTGCATCCTGGGAACCCAACCTAAAACAGCTGGGTACCTTCTTCTCATCTTACTGAAGTCTGAAATTTGCTATTGAATCTGAGTTCAAGACCCTGCCCTAGGAACAAAGTAGAGACACAAACAGAACAATTACAGGGTTTCTCTTAAGAGAGTCTACAGAGATAGGAGAAATAAAAACAAACACATAAGCATTATATGTAATATGCCAAGGGGCTTAAGGGTACAACATGCACCCACTGAAGATTGGGAGGGAATGAGAGATGAGGTCCTTGGGACATCAAGCAAGGCTTTCTGAGAAAGACACTATTTGAGCAAACTAAAAAGGTTTACACTTTTGGCCTGGCTATGACTCTCCTGTACAGATTAATCCTTTCGGTGCTCAAATCCCCAAGTCCTTCATCCTCACCAGAATCCCCAAGGTCACTTAATCTCACCTCTTCATAGTTACACTCTATAATGACCCTAATTGCTCCATGTTTGGCCAAATTCCTGGCAATTATTCCTACCCTTTCCTTACATAACATCAGTCCCTTTGCTTATCTCTTCATGATAATACCATGGAGTACCATTCTCCACCTGCTCTGGGTCTATTTGCAAGATGCTGAACCTGGTTAGAAAAAATAAACAACCATGCTGTTTGCTAGCTTAAAATCCAGGACCACAAAGTTTGATTCATGTTAACTGGAAGTCATACTGTGTTTTCCGGTTTCATTAACGCTCACACAGAGTATCTCACAATCTCCCTTTCCTTGCTCCCAAGCCATGGCCTTGGTTTCTTCATGCCAGTCTCATTAGATGCCAATCTCTCCACAGATGCAGCAAACACCATTTCTCCTGCATCAGGTTTTCTGTCTCTGCTGGATATCTCTATGGGCTGGCTACCTCTACTCTTTCTTCTTATTCATAGACAAGCTCACTGGAAGAGTTCTAAATTTGCATTTTACCTGAGTCTTATTCTTGGGTTCCATTTTTTTTAAATCTGAGTGTTGAACTGAGGGCCCCAAGCATGTAAGGCAAGTGTTCTACTAAATGAATCACATCCCCCAGGCTTTCTAACGAGTTCTGTTCTAAGTCTGCCCCTTCAGGCTTCATCTTCAGGCCACCATCTACTGAAACTGATCTTGTCAAGAACACCTGTGACTTATACATTGCTAAAGCCAAAGGACAACTCTCAGTCTTCAGCATCCTTGACTTAGTGATGGCAAACAGCATAACTGATGCTCCATCCTGGGTGTAATTCCTCCATTTGCCTCCTAAGAGACCACATTCTTCCTCCCTCACCTAACAGATGGAATTTGGCACCTATGTGGGGAGAGCACCATCTAATGAGACAGGCAAGAAGAAATCAAGCTCATTACTTGGGAGTGAGGATGGGCAAAGTAAGGAACTGCAGGTCAGAGAAAGGAAGAGTGTGAAATACTCAGTGTAAGAGTGGATGAAGAAGAAAATACAGATTCCTTCATGTCTCTTCCCTGTTAATGTCAAAGAGACTTGCTCCCTGGTTCTCTTCTCATCTCTGCTGGTTTCTATACCTTGGATACCTATTATGAATAGTGTGTGTAAGAAAGTGTGTGTGTGTGTGTGGGTGGGTGTGTGTGTGTGTGTGTGTGTGAAAGTGTGTGTGTGAGTATGTGAGTGTGTGTGTGTGTGATCTCATTCCTGATCTCCAGACCAACATATCAGTTGGCAAATTATTATCTCCACACAAATGCTTAATAGGCATATATGTGCACATACATGCCTATTAAAAGAGACACCTTTAAAAGAGTGTCTATTTTAAAAAGTTTTTAAAAGAGACACCTCAGACATAATTGGCCCAAAAGCCATTGGGAGTCTCTTTCCTGTTTCTACACAAAGACAGACTGTCTCTCTGTGTCTCTGTCTCTGTCTCTCTGTCTCTCTGTCTCTCTCTCTCTCTCCTGGCCTCTGCAAAACTATTCCCCACTATTTCTAATCCCCATCTTTTCTATTTTTTTCATTTGCTTCATTTTCTCTCAGCTTAATACATCCCCATAGTTATGTTGTCAAAAATCTTGGATATTTTTTAACCTTCTGGTCAGGTTGGCTTTCTTTGTCTGGATGCACCCTTCCCAGAGCCTTCACCCCTTTTCCAGACTGTGCTGGCTACTCCCTTGCCCTCCTGCTCACATGTTATCTCTGATCACCTTTCACCTCCACTCTGTGGCCTCTCACTTCTTCTCTAGGAACTAGAACTCCAAGACTTCATCCCCTATGGTTTCCTGATTGTTTTTTTCCTCTTAATATTGCTGGAGCAAGTTTAGACAACACTTCTAAAATGAAGCGGTGCATGAGAGTGTAGATTACTGATAGTTCACACTTGTAAAAAGTCTTTATTCTGTGGTTTCACGTGGCAAAGAATTTTTATTTAAAATACTTAAGGCACAACCCTATTGCATTTTTTTTTTAGCTCCCAAGATTTCTATTGAGAAGGCCAGTGTCATTTTTATTCTTACTACTTTTCATATCATCTGGAATGATCCCCCAAACAACTCATTATCATTTTATTTTGCTTTTTTTCTAGAACTGGTATTCCATCTACTTCAGTATCCTAAGTGTTTAGTGTCTTTCTTGAAAATAGTATTTTTAATTTCAAATTTCTAAGAGCTCTTTGCTGTGAGGTGATTATTCTGTTATTGAATACTCTGCTTTGTTTCATGATTATAAATTCTCTTATCTCTAAGAAATTTTAAATAGTGTCAAGCTATCTTGTGCCCCCTTACACTATTCTATTTCCTCCAACTTCATGTTTCAATTTCCATAATTAGTTTTTCTTGCTTTCTTCCACATTTGAAACTCTTCTCCAATATCTGACCACACCTGGTGTTCATTTGTACTGAAGAACAAGGTACTAAAATGTTCGCTGGACACACAAATTGGCTGGCTCTACTTCAGTCACTCCAGAGCAATCTGGTCTCTATTTAATGGTCTCGTTTAAGATTGCCAAATGTCTCCCTTGGCATCCTTTTCTGTGGCATCTGCATTCTCTGGAGACAGTTACTCTAGTCCTCTGTCTGCTGCTAGCTTTCTGGTGCTAGAAATAGAAGAAAGCCTGAAGACCTCAGTGTTCAACATGATATTCACCTAATCTCCTTGCTCTCTCTAGGGCTCCTCATCACCGCCCTTCTTTATAGCTTGTCCTCCCAAGTCCAAAATACCCTTGGCTTAATGTCCTTAGAAAGTTTCTTAGAGCCAGTGGAACCCTCGCTTCCCTGCCTGGCATGGATTCACAATCAACACATCCATCTGTTCCCTACACTCTGCACCACCTCCCTGCCTCGAGTCCTCCTTCCTAGGAATGCCATACCTCCCTCAAACTACCTATCTTTTAAGGGTTTGTCAGGAGACTATCTGGCACCTTCTGGAAGTTTTCCATTTCACCAAGGAAAGAGCCTTCTCTCTGCTCAGCTGTGGCACCTGCCTCTGTCTCCATGTTGTTTGCCAACTAATACATGTTCTCTAGTTTCTTCAAGACAGAGTTTCCCTGGTTGCTTTAGAGTGATGCCAGATAAAAGAGAAAATAAGGGTTTGACAGTTTGCTTCTTTGTAGATTTTGTTTTGTTTTATTTTATTTTGTTTGTTTGTAGCCCTGGCTGGCCTGGAACTCTGATATAAACTAGATTCACCTTGAATGCCTCCCAGATACTGGGATTTAAAATGTGATTCCCCCACACCCAGTGAAAGAAAAGATTTTATTACCTGAAAAGGTAAAGAACTTTATATGCTAAGCATTTTGATTAGCGTTGCTTTTTAATTACACCACAAGAAAGACAGCTCATTATACTTTGAATCCCCAATTACTTCTGATAGTATTAAACATAAGATATATCCCTGCAACATAAATTCTCTTGAAGGTTTAATAAGCATTTCATAGTCAAATAGATTTTCTCATCAGAAAATATACAAGATGTCTTCTTCATGCTCTAAACTTCCAGTTATAAACAAAAGAGAGCCTTTTATACTCCAAACAAAACAGCATAACCATGGAACAGGATGTCAGAAGCAGACTGCTTGGTACCTGAAACATTCTGGCCATGCCCAGGACAGAGATCTTCTGTCTGTGTCCAAGGCAGAGGCAGTAAGAGGTAGTTTTTATTTCCTCCAGGCTTAAAGGCACGTGGGTCTCACTGGAATGTCAACAGCCAGGTGACATTAAAAGGGAATTTCACTTTCATCTTATTCTTTCAACATTAGGTCACTTGGAGTGGACTCTTGTGGCTACTGATCCGAAGTCCCATGAGGCAAGCTACTCTTTTTGTTTCTTTTTAGAACTGGCAGGAAAATAATCATGGTCCTCAACTTCTACTGATTCAGGATTATACCTGGACACTAAGAGGATCTTTGTGGCCTGATGTTTTGGTATTTTTCTTTTCAGTAATAGGGTTGAAGTCAAGGCCTCCTGCATGTTAGGTAAGTGTTCTAGCCCTGTTTTACAGCCCCAGTCCTATATTACATTTTTATTTTAAGACAGTGTCTAAAAGAGTTGCTAAACTTGGCCTTTCCCTCTCTGTAGTCTAATCAGACTTTGAAATTGCAATCCTTCTTTACCCCTCTGAGTAGCTGGGGTTACAGGTGAGTGCTATCGAGTTGGCTTTGAAGGTTTGGGTGGTAATATTCTAAAGGCTCAGCTATCGTGAGATCCAAAGCATCAAATTTCGGTGGTGTTTTCTCATCTATGGCTCTGTGCATTAGCTAAGACTTCAGTAGTGAAATATAATAAGTACCCCCAAATCAGCAACATGAAACAATTATACATGTTTCTGGGTACATGACATCAGTGGGCCATCCAAGGATCAAGAGTTGAGTTTAGCTAAGAGCAGCTCTGCTTTTCCCTGTTTCCAGTGAGGCTGGCTCTGGTCTGCATGTCTCTTATCCTCCATCTGGGACTGGCAGGCCCTTCCCATGCTGATGGCAGAGACATGGATGGCAAGTACATACCCATCTCATGGCATATCCCTACCATGTGAATTTCCAAGACAAGTAGTCAAGGGACTGGAAATGTAACTGGATACACTGGGAGGACACAGCAAAGTTACAAGGTACAGGATGTCAATGCATGATTGACTGGTGCTCTGTTACTGGAGATGGATGAGAAGGACTGCAGAGAGTTGGAACAATAATCCAGTCCACTATCCATTTGTGCCAAGCAAAAATACACCTTTAAGTCTCACTTCATTCATTCCATGTCTTTTTGTTACTAAAAAAAACTAAATTGCACTGATAGGGGATGTCCTCCTCTCTTTCTATCTGACCCTAGCCTATCAGGTCTCATCAGGACTGGCTGCACTGTCTTCCTCTGTGGCCTGGTAAGGCTGCTTCCTCAGGGGAAGGTGATCAAAGAACCAGACCCTGAGTTCATGTCAGAAACAGCCCCTGGTCCCCTTACTAGGGAACCCACTTGGAGATTGAACTGTCATGGGCTACATCTGTGCAGGGGTTCTGGGTTATCTCCATACATGGTCCTTGGTTGGAGAATCAGTCTCAGAAAAGACCTCTGTGCCCAATTTTTTTGGTTCTGTTGGTCTCCTTGTGGAACTCCTGTCTCCTCTGGGAAGAGAAGAAGGAGGGAGGAAGGGATTGGGAGAGGATGAGGGAGGGGGCTACAGCTGGGATACAAAGTGAATAAAATGTAATAAAATAAATAAATAAATAGAATTTTTAAAAAATAAATCGTATGTCTGCTTACAAATTCCCTCGGGAATCGTTACCAGTTCAAAGCAGGCCAGGGCCTGGGACAAAGGCATTATAGAAGGCTCAGAAAAAAAAAATGTGAAAAGGATATTAAGAGGGTATAAACAATCCTTGCTTTATCCAAGTTCAGCATATTGAGCAAAACTAGAACCAAATCTATCTCTTACTTCCATTACAAGATAAGCCTTTTATTTCTTTACTCTCATTGTATCAAAAGCTACACCCCAGGGTAGTTGGGAAGCATTTGTTGCTTGTGAACAGGGTTTTTCTATTCGCTTTGTCATATTTACTTGGTTATGAGCAGTATCAGAATAAAAACACTTTCATCTAATTTAGCACTTTCCCCAAAAACGCCCTCAAGAACACAGATACTGAAATCAAACCTGAGAGTCCCAGAAGCACTCTGAGCCACAGGCATAACAAAAGCACTGCCATGCTGTGCAAAACTAAGCCCTAATTTGCAGATACAACAATACCACATTTCTGTCATTTGCTTTTTATCTCGGTCTGAGTTACCCACTCACTGGAGAAGCCCTCCCATAGTCCTCCCCTAACTCCAGAGCCGCTCTCTCCCCCGGCAGAAGGTTGTGATGTTTCACGGCTGTGTAAACAACAAGAAGTAAGCACAGCTCACTATAAAACATAGTCCACACACATAAGCCAGCCCCGGCTTTCCTCTTACTTCAATATTTGAGAAGGAACATTGTGCTCAATACAATAATTATTCAAGTCTGAGAAATCAATCAACGAACACACTACCATCTATCTGTCAATGATTGCTCATGGCAGGCATTTCCAATCATGTAATCCCCCAAATCATACTCCTTCAATCCCAAACTTTTTTTAACAAATTAATTTAAAATGGACCCCAAGGGTTTGATTTCCAAATGACCTTCCCACTCCAAGGATTTTAGAATTCGTGGAGTTGTAACTGATTTTTTTTTTTTTTTAATCCTAGGAGTCAACAAACAGAAAGCAGATACCTTCAAGGAGTGGAGTCTCTTGTCTAAGGCACGAGCAAGCTCCAACATCATTGCACACGGCACGGCTGAGTCAGTGGCTCCCACAAACACTCTGCTGTCCCATCGAGGGAAATATTTGGAGTCATAGTGGCAGGCGAGGACCAAGTGTCTTTTTGCTTCTGGGTTAAGAGTGCTGATGATATTGGAGAAGGACCGGTGGCCATAGGGTGTGTTACTCAGGAAGGTGTCGACCTCCACGACCCACTCAGCCTGAAGTCTCTGAATTCGCTGCATGATGTGCTGATCAAAACAAATGGTTTTCATTGGTTAGCTGTGTCTCTAAAACTGTATGAGGTGCCTTCTTCCGTTGTTGTTGAAAACAGTCTCCCTCTGTAGCCCAGGCTGGACTGAAAAATGAGGATATGGTCAGGCCATAGGTTATGTTGAATTTATGGTAATCCTCCTCATCATCATTGCAAGCACTGGGATTAACGTCACCCATGCTTTGCATGCTAACTGATAGTGATAGCATTACTGATAGTTGTTATTTCAGTTAATAGCAACTTCTCATTGAAAGAAGGGGCAAATCTCTCTCACTCCTAACCTTTTGCCTACTTATCCATCCTGAACAGTTGCTAATATTTGCCAACACTAGCAATGTTTTTTTTTTTTATTACACAAACCTTACCAGCATAAAAGCACATATATGTGGGAGAGGGGTGTGCTTTACTTATTATTTTCCCTTTGCTTTGTCCACTTAGCAATCAGTTGGGGATACATCTACAAATAAGGGGACAAATCCAGCTCACCCCTGCGCTCATCTTTTGTCTCCTCCCTGTGTGAAGAACAACCTCTTTTACACACTTTATAACATTATATGAATGGTAGCTGCCTGTCTCTAAGATTTTTTTTTAAACTATGATTCTCTGTCTGCTCAACAGAGGCCTTACTTTGAAACCTCCATGCCCAACCACAGAGATCCGAGATAAGAGTCTGTCAAGAAAGATGCCATCTCCATCTCTCCGTGGCCCAAGCGCGGTATCTGAACTCAGAGGGACTAGTTTCCATCTCCAGATCCCTTCCTCTGGGCTAAACATCGTGCTCACTCCCTGCTTCCCAAGGAGCCACAGCAGATGGGTGTCTGAAGGTGGAATTAGCGAGAGTCATTACATGAGGGCGTTCTCAATTGAGTGCCCCAGCTCAGCACTCCTAAAGACGACGATTGACATTTGTAGGAAGCTGAGGGGGTCTGTTTGAGAGAGTACGCATTTCAAATCGGTAAGCTTCCACTCTACGCTCTCAGAGAGTTACAAAGGGCAGCTGTGGGGGCATGGGTGCAGGTGCTGGATTCACGAGATGTGCTCCAAGCTGTGCAAACGCTCCAGGTGTAGTGAACACCGGTGGAAGACACTCGTACTCGCACGCCGAGGCTTAGAGAGTTCCCATCGCTTCTTTAGGCCTGTAGATTTCAGGACGGCTAGCCTATATTATACGGCTAATACCCACTTACAAATGAGCATATACAATGCCTGTCTTTCTGTTTCTGGGTTACCTCATTCCTAAACACTAGGGAGAACTCTAGGGAGGATGCTTAAATCTCATTCAGAATGGCAAACAGGATAGACACCAGAAGCGGTGGAAAAGAGGAAACAGGATTGGGGCCCACTATAGTAGGTCCTTTGAAAGGCTCCACCCAACAGGGGATCGAAGCAGATTCTGAGACTCACAGGCAAACTTTGGGCAGAGTGCAGGGAGTGTGGGGATTGAAGGACACGGAGGGGACAGGAGCCCCCACAAGGAGATCAACAAAGCTAAAAATCTGAGCCCAGGGGGTTCTGCAGAGACTGATGCACCAACCAAAGACCATGCATGGAGACGACCTAGACCCCCTGCTCAGATGTAGCCAATTGACAGCTCAGTCTACATTTGGGTTCCCTAGTAAGGGCTCAGGAGCTATCTCTGAAATGAACTCTGTTGTCTGCTCTTTGATCACTTGCCCCTGGTGATGCAGCCTTGCCAGGCCACAGAGGAAGAGGATCCAGGCAGTTCTGATGAGGCTTGATGAACTATGGGCAGATGGCAGAAGAGGAGAGCTCCCCCCTTTCAGTGGACTAGGGGAAGGGGATGGGGGGGGAGAGGGAAGGAGGGTAGGGCTGGGAGGAGTTGAGGGAGAGGGCTTCAATCAGCATATATAATGAATAAATTGTGGAAAAAATTAAAATTAAAACAAGAAAGTTCCCATAGAAAATTATGGGTAGGAATGAGGTCAGGCCATACCTATAGTAAGCATCAATAAGCAACTCTAACCCAACCTTTCTTTCTGACCTGTAGCCCAGAGGAATCTCTCAGCACCACCTCATGGCCTCTTTGGGCCTTCTGTGCAGCACAGTGACAGAGGCAGGAAGCAGGAAGCAGAGGAAGGACCACCATGCCAGGGACTGAAAATGTCTTCCTTAAAAACCTAAAATTTAGGACATGAGACAAATGAACTCACTGATGTTTTGTTTTGCTCTTTTCCTGTCCTAATTTTTTTCTTGGACTTTTTTTTTCACTGTGTTTCTTTATTCCCCTTCAGTATTGTTTTCATCTTTGTAAGGTGCCTCATTAAAAAACATTTTTAAACCTCAAACCACAAATTAGCCATTATAATAACTGACAGTTCATCCAACAATTAACATCTAGAAAGGAGGAACCTTGATATAATGAACAAATAACTCACAGTACCTGGAAACAAATGTGAGGGGTTTTTTTTTGTTTGTTTTTTGTTTTTCCTCCCAAAGAAAGAGGATTTTCTATTCTGGCCAAGTCTTGTGTGGGCTACAGCCTAATGATGTAACACGACACACACACAAAGAGGGGCTTTGGACAAACTACAGCAGGAGGCTTCCAAAGAGGCAGGAACTTAGACACAGGGGTAGAGGCTCTGTGACGCACCATCGATCCTGAAAAAGCCAAACAAACAAACCCCTTTGGTTTTTGCACTCAGTGGACTTTAACCGAAACAGCACATGGCATCCCTTACCTTCCTTTTCGGCTAATACTCTACGTGCTGTCTCTCTCCGTTCATTAAAAGACACGTTTAAAGCCTTTTCACAGCCAGCTTTCATATCGCTTTTATTTTGATAGTCCCTACAATTCCTATACCATGTTGTGTTCACAGTGGTACATCATAAGGAATAGGAGTTGATTGTAATATTAAGTGTGGGCTAATGTAATATATAAATATATATTAATGTATATTACATACCACATAAAAATCACGTGAGGTAGAACAGCAGTTGTTTCACTAGGAAAATAAATCACTGTGCATCTAAGATGAGATTTTTTCTGAAGAAGATAAAAGTGAGTTATCCCTAGACTCTGTTTAACTCCAGAACATCTGGTGTCCAGATGACAAACCATTGCATAAAATGGCTTCTCAACGCTGACAGTAGCCTGAGAAACGAATTGGGATTTTAAAGACTCTGTCAGAGGTTATCTGTCATGACCATTCAGAAGCCTCAACCAGAACCCCTTCTCAGCTCAGTCCCCCCCCCACCATTGGCTTCTAACATCTATAGGAATACTACTCTCCATGAAAAAAATCAACAAGAGCCCCGAAGAGCTGCCCCTGAAGTAAACTTTTTGTATGCAAAATAAATATTTTTATTTATCTTAGTAACTAGGATGGAATTAGGACACCAATACTTGTGGTGTTTTCAGCTTTCAGATTTCTTTAGTCTCCAAGTCTCTGAAGGAGATTCCCTAAACCACTGCTTTTATCACAATATTCCTGAAGTCTAAACATCATTTCATGCTTGACTCAGAAGGATCAAAGACTGGGCCCTCCAGAAATGATGGGGGGGTGGTGGCTGGAGAGACTGTTACTTGGCATTCTGATTCTGGGTGAAGCAACAGAGGAAGTTATTATAGGCTAACATTAATGAATGGTCCTAGGTCTAGTGTAATTAAACTTGAATTCTCATTCTGAGTATCTGAGAAACTGTGACGCCATCAGTAGACCAGGATTGTTCTGAGGCAGGAGATTCTCCAGCACTTTGCACTAAGTCTGCAAAGGCGCTGTTGTCAGGGTTCTGACCCTGCCACGGTGGACTTCCGGTTAACTGTTTTCTAAGGTATTCCCAACACAAGGCTCTGGGGCCCTGAGCTGAAAATACTCCACACAGGGCCCTGCATTGATGTGCACCGCCAATATACATACCTGTCACTGAAGTTCAGTTTTGACTTTCCACACTCACCGGGCATCTAGTTTGTCTCTTATAAAATGATCTTAAGCTGGGTGGTGGTTTCTCACACCCTTGATCCCAGCACTCTGGAGAAAGAGGCAGGTGGGCCTCTTTGAGTTAAAGGCCAGCCTGGTCTACAGAGCAAGTTCCAGGACACCTAAGGCTATACAAAACAAACAAAACACAACAAAACAAAACTCTCTCAAAAAAAAAAAAACAAGAAAGAAAGAAAGAAAGAAAGAAAGGAAGAAAGAAAGAAAGAAAGAAAGAAAGAAAGGAAGAAAGAAAGAAAGAAAGAAAGAAGGAAGGAAGGAAAGAAAGAAGAAAGAGAGGAGGGAAGGGAGGACAGGAAGGGAAAAGGATCTTGATTGTCCCTCATGAGAATATGCTACCCTTGTAACTTAATTTATATTCTATGTCTACACTAGACACCTCTGAAATGCCTCAACTTAATGCCTTCAATTTATTTGTTTTATAAACAAGTTATATCTTTAAATTCAAAAATTGCAAAAATTCAATAGTCAGTTTAGGGCTCATTGATCAAAGATCATAAATGCAAGTTTTAACATGTGACTCTCTGGACCTAGACCCCTGCTCTGATGTAGCCATGGCAGCTCAGTCTCCATGTGGGTTCCCTAGTAGGGGGAGCAGGAACTGTCTCAGACATGAACTCAGTGGCTGGCTTTTTAATCATCTCCCCCTGAGGGGGGAACAGCCTTGCCAGGCCACAAAGGAGGACAATGCAGCCAGTCCTGATGAGACCTGATAGGCTAGGGTCAGATAGAAGGGGACTATCAGTGAACTAGGAGAGGGTCATAAGAGGAGCTGAGGGAGGGAGGGAGGGTTAGATCAGGAGGAGATGAGGGAGGGGGCTACAGCCTGGATACAAAGTGAATAAATTAATAATAATAATAATAATAAAGAAAAAATTTAAAGCTGCAACTCTCCAAAATATGTTATATCCAAAAGAACTCTTAGTGAGGTGCATCTTTGCTGTGACACCAAGAGTTAAAACACAAACTGACTCTGTATCAAGGCCTCAGAACTCTGAGGGCAGAGAATCCTCTTCAGTCATGACCCTGTACCTTTCCCACTACAGAAGAAGAGCTGACCTAGTTCCCAAGAGGCTTAAGGGGAACAATGTTTGCTATCAGGGTTGCTTAAATTTAGTTCTGAATTAAAGGCTCTGATCCTGCTCAATTTAAGACCCTTACCATAGCCCCCTCATAATAATTGGCTCTTTTTCATTCTTAAATGAAAAAGCCTTTTGTCTTCCACAACATAGGGGAGGTCATTAAAAATTAATGATAGCAATTTTCTTATGAAAAAAATAAAACTGAATCTCTTAGGTAAAATTTCTTTCTTATGATTTTTTCATTGAGTATCTGGAAACATCATGTATCCTGACTGCACTCACCTCCCAGTCTTCCCGTGCCCATCCCCCTCCCCAGTGACCCTTCCCAACAAAAGGCAAAAAGCAAGTCCATTTTGTGGTCAAATTCCTAGTGGTCAACCACTCAAGGGAGGATGAGTCTTCTTCTGCCTGTATCCCCAGCAGAAGCTGTCAAGTGAGGAGAGTCGACAGTGGCTGGGGAGGGGCAGGGATAGCTCTTCTATGGGGGCGGGGTTAAGTAAAATTTCTGATGTGATCATCCTGTTATCATCTACTGCTTCATTAGTCAGACCACATACAGGCTTTTCTGCCTGATGCCCAACACATTTTAAAATATCATCAATAAATTTTCTATTTGCTTCTACCCCCTCAAGATAGTTGTAGACTTAGTTAGACATTTATTTTTGAATTTTTAATTTTTATCTTGCTTATGCATACGCTTGTGTATGGGTATGTGCATGCGAGGTCAGACACATTGGGTTTCCCTAGAGCTGAAGTTGTAAGCAGTGTGAACCAACCGTACTCTGGTCTTCTGCAAGAACAGTATGCTCTCTTAACTGCTGAGCCACCTCTCCAGCCCCTGAATATAAATCTTTTAAATCATAACAATACCTATGTAGACTATTTGTGCTACACATTCCGTAGAAGACAAAGTTTCAATGGTGTTCACTGTCTTTGTGGTCTTCTAGAATCCAAAAACAAGGAACCTGGACCACAAGGGTACATATGGGTATCTGAGTGTAGATGGCCTTCTCAGCCAATAGAGTGAGAAAATGGGAAAAGTAAGATCCAGAGATTATCATAGACTTAGATTGTTTTTTGATGAGGAGCTGAGGATCTTTTAAAAAAATTCTTAGGACATGACATGAGACCTTGAAAAGACTGTGAGATATCCAGTGTGCCATGAGAAGACACAGAGCTATGCTACTGAGATTCATTTATCATTGATCTAATTTCTCCCCAACCTCCAGTGACAGAAAATCAAGCAGATCTGAGTTCAAACTGATAAAACACACATAACAGAGAATAAATTAATTCAGATGCTGAACCTCCGATATTTTATAATAAGTACATTGGGATAGGAATGTAGCATTGTTGTGAAAACTAAATGAGCTATTAAGTGCTCTTCGAAAGTTGGCCATCATCAACCCAAACATGGTGGTTCGGGTCTCATCCAAGAAGCTATTCAAATGGGAACCAGGAGGCTAAAAAGCCACCAAACACATCTTTTAAGGCTATGTTGGTGGGTGAGCAGAAGTTACACAGTAGAAAAAGAAGAGCTGCAAGCTAGGTAGATGAAACCCTGCAGGTCTCTCAAGGCACAGCAGTAGTTGCCAAGGTTTTTTGTTTGTATGTTTGTTTGTCTTGGTGTTTTGTTTTGTTTTTGTATAAGAAGTTGAATGAGTAGAATATTTAATAAGAGGCTTTGAAAGGCCAGTCCCATTCTTTCCCAAGCTGTCCCCTGAATGAGATTAGTGCAAAAAACAGGCATTGAGAGGTAAAATTTCATGTTGCTCAGACAGATTGTCACTGCAAAGAGAAGTCCAAGGTGTAGCCCAGTGTATAGCTTATTCTACCCTCTACAGCAGAGTCATCCAAAACAACACCTATAAAATCAATGAACCCAGAAATCAGTTTTGTGAGTCACCATGAGCGCTTTCTTCAATTCACAAATTAGGATTTGCAATATCCAACCAAATTACAGGTAATGACAATAAGTAGTTTCAAAAAAAAAAAAAAAAAACTTTTGCTACAGCTAAGTAAACATGCTTGTCTGTAAAACACACAATATGTTTTCACTGTTTGTCAAAGTAAACATCTGAGAAGCTCAACTGTAGACGGAAGCTAACCATTGGCCTCAGCCAAGAAGACAAATTCCTTCAAGAGGGCTGGCAGCTCAGAGACTCATTCTTGCCCTGGACTAAGCTAAGCAAACGCAGTCAAAAGTTGGAGTTTGGATTCTAGGGTCCACAAAAGTTGGTTAGTAGGGTAGGAGTGTGCTATTGAAGTGACCAAGAGTGGAAGGCTTAGTATTCTGTATTGTTGCTGCTGCAGCCAAGACAGTGATTTCACACATAAACTGATTTTTCACTAAATGTGCTTCATTCAATTCAAAATAGACGTTTGCTCTTGGGTGTGTGACTTTCTTGGTTACCTCTACCAGTGACTAATGAGATGATGTATCCGGATATTTCACAACTCAGAACTTTAGCCATCATCTTACCCTTCGTGGGAAAGGAAAGACTTTAAAGCCTTTAGATGTGTGTGCTGTGTTCTCACCTGACGAGCAGAATAGCTTCCAGGTGATCCTGGATATCGTTCTATCAGCAGCGGTTTCAAGTCGTTTTGCCACATCTCAGAAATACTGGTGCCTTCTGCAACTTGCCGAAGAGATGAAGAATTCAAATGTGCTGGTTGGTGGTGGTTCTGTGGTTAAATAAAAGTGCTTAGTTCTGATTGCATGCATTTAAGACTCAACATGGTACATTTTATGACTAGTGGCCTTAAAACCTCAAAATAGGGAAGGAACTCCACAAGGAGACCAACAGAGCCAACAAATTAGGGTCCATGGGGACCTACAGAGACTGATACACCAACCAAGAACCATGCATGAAGAGGACCTAACCCCCCTGTTCGGATACAACTAATAGGCAGCTCAGTCTTCATGAAGGTTTCCTAGTAAGGGGAGCAGGAGCCGTTTCTGACATGGACTCTGTTGCCTGCTCTTTGATCACTTCCCACTAGTGAGGGACCATTGCCAGGACACAGGAAGAAGGTGCAGACAGTCCTGATGAGACTTGATAGGCTGGTGTCAGATAGTAGGGGAGGAGGGCTCCCCTTTCTGAGAAATAGGGGAATGGTGAGGAAGAGGAAGGATGAGATGGGGAGGAAACAAGGGAGGGGACTACAGTAGGTGTGTAAAGTGAGTAAATTATAAAAAAATAAACTTAAATTAAAAAAAGAAACTGTGGCACATTTACAGATTAAAAAAAACTCAAAATAAAGGAATAAGGTTTATGTTATATGAGTTAAAGGACTCAGCTGTAAAATTGGCCCCTTGAATCTTCCAGATTTTGGCAGCTTGTTTTAAAAACAAAATTGACAGTATGCTTTCACTGTAAGTTACACTTACAACCTGTGTGACTTAAAATGATTTCTCTGGATAATTGACTTGTAAAAGTAAGGTTTAAAAATTACAAGATGTGCTAGAGAAATGGCTCAGTGGATAAGCCTTTGCCAATGAGCCTGGTAAGCTGACTTCTGTCCCTGGGACCCACATGGTAGAGAGAGAGAACTGGCTCCTGCAAGTTGTCTTCTGACCTCCATACATACACCATCATATACACATATACACACATATATTTGTAATTAAAAAAAATAATAGCAACTATACACACTTAGAAGGCAAGAAGCATGAAGACCACAAGTTTAAGGCCAGCCTGGACTAGGCAGAGAAACCTTTTGTCAAAACAACAAAAAACAACAATTAGGAGACTATTATCTGAAGAAACCTTAATACTTAAAGAGCTGAAGACAGCAAAGAAACACACTGTTGGTATGGCTGTTTGTTGAAAGGCGGTGAGGTACTTCAGAACTGCCATTCAGAGAAGCCAGAGGCAAGACTTCCGGCTTCCATTTACAGACTCCGTGACATCAGCCAGTTCTCTTAATTTCTCATTGCCCAGAAAAACAAAACAAAAACAAAAACAAAAACAAAACAAAACAAAACAAAAACCCAACTAGTTAAACAGATAAGTTCTAGATCTACACTTTCCAACAGAAGAGGCCACTAGCCAACCTGTGAATAATAACACTTAAAATGTAGCTGGAAAATTAAGGTGTGCTTTAAGTGCGATGTACACCAGGTTTGGAAATTTGGATTGTTTAATTTTTGCTTTTGCTTTTGTTTTTGTTGTTGACACAGTGGTTGACTGTGTATCCTTAGCTGACCTGGAATTTGTTATGTAGACTAGGCTGTTCTCCAGTTACAAAAACTCTGCCACCACACCTGGCAAACATACCACTTTTAAAGGTATTTTTATAGAAAGAAAAGAAAGAAATTCTGTCATTCATATTTTTCCAGGTGTGTACTGAAACAATTTTTAAATTTTATAAATGAAATAATTATTAAAATTAATTTTACCTTTTACCTTTTAATATAGTTACTAGAACATTTTAAATTCTATTCCTTGGGGCTGGAGAGAAAGTTCAGTGGTTAAGAACACTGGCTGTTCTTAAACACGACTTGGTTTAATTCCCAGCGCCTACATGATGGCTCATAACTATCTAAGCCTTAGTCCTAGGGGAATCCAATGCCCTCTTCTGGTTTCTGTGGGCATCAGGCATTCACATGGTATACAAACATATACGCAGGCAAAAACACACACGTACATTGTGCTAGCTAATTTTATGTCAACTTGACACAAGCTAGAGTCATCTAAGAGGAAGAAAGCACAACTGAGAAAATCCTTCCATAAGCCTGGGCTGTAGGCAAGCCTACAGAGCATTTTCTTAATTAGTGATTGATGGAGGACAGCCCAGTCCATTGTGGGTGGTACCACCCTCTGGCTGGTGGTCCTGGGTTCTACAAAAAAGCAGGCTGAGCAAGCCATGAGGAGCAAGGCAGTAAACAGCACCGAGGCCTCTGCATCGGCTCCTGCCTCCAGGTTCCTGCTGTGCTTGAGTTCCCTGCCCTGACTTCCATCAGAGATGGACCTGAAAGCATACACTGAAATAAACCCTTTCCTCCCTCCCAAGTTGCTTTTGTCATAGTGTTTCATCACAGCAACAATAACCATAATTAGGACATACATAAAATAAAAACAAGTTGTGTGTGATTGTGTGTGTGTGTGTGTGTATGTGTTGAGTGACATAGTATATGCACAAAGGTCAGAAGACAACCTTTCCACTTTGTTGAAGACAGGGTCTTTGCTGTTTTGCCCACTACATACACCAGGCTCACTGGCCTGTCCCGGTCTCTCCTTGTTCCACGGGAACATTAGGATTACAGACCCTCATCTACAGCTACTCATCTAGCTCTTTCCTGGATTCTGGGGGTTCAAACTCTCATCCTCATGCTTGCACACCACGCACTTTCACACACCAAGCCTTCCTGGCCCTCAATTTCTATCAGCATGAACTCAGGGGATCAGTGACATTCCTCTCAAACTGACTTTGACAACTGTGTAACTGGCTAAATAGGAACCCTTTTAAATGATTGACTAAATCGTCTTATATTCTAGTAAGGTTTAATACAGTTATATATTGGAGGAAACTTAAAAGGCTAACTAGACTTAATGTCCAAATGTATATCCTGAATATGACTTTGTACTTATTGTGCTTTTCTCACTGCACCCAAAGTGATGAATCAGCCACTCATTACAAGCTTATCAGACACTCAGAGAGAATGTGGCACTCCTCGTCAAATGGAAGCACACGGTTGATCAAGGGACCTTTCCCCTAGTGAGAAGGATGTGAGTGACATATGGACATTGAGTTGTTTGAAATGCAAAGCAGAAATTGAGAGCTCTGCCCATCCTACAGTTTCCTCCAAGATTGCTGTTGACTGGGTATGTTGAAATGATCCTGCTGGTAATTCACTTCCATGTGAACCACCCATGCAGCTAGTGAGACAGTGTAGAAAGAGACTACTGCTGCCTTGTTGCTGCTATCCCTGGATGCTTTGAGATGGCCCAGTGTTACTCTGTAATGTTTATCGTGCAAAAAGCACAGGCTGTTTGATCAGATACATTCTTTCAACCCAGCACCCAACGCTAGCTGTAACTCTGGCTGGGTTACTTAACCTTATTAAGGTTCTATTTCTTTGTCTGGAAAATGGAGGTAACAATACCCACATCCAAAGGGACTTAGAACTAAATGAGTTACTATATTATATAATTGTATATATATATATATATATATATATATATATATATACAATATTATATTATATATATTGTTTAGTAAATATTCAATGTGCTGGCTTTCTCTGTCATACAGTAAAGAAGTATAGAATATTAGACTCAGATAAGCCTCCTAGAGATAATCTAGTCCAACCTCCTAAGATACACCAATGGAAAATGAGATTTGTAGAGCCAGCTGTATGGAGAGCTATAGGTAAATCCATAAAAAGAATTCTGGTGGGTGGGTTTCCAGCCCAGTGCTCATTCTTCGGCCTCATCTGAAAACAACTGAATGTGAAGTAGGAGCCAAAGAAAACGGGGGGAGAAGGGGAGACCTCCACAGTTGTTCCTTCCGGACAAAAACCTATGTATCTATCTCTTCCACTGTCTTGAAGCCCTGTGGCGTGCTGCTGGCTCCCACCCATCATGCTTTGGTCACCCTAGCATCCAGATACTTTGAGGTTCTTCCCCTTAGGATCATGGCATCCCAGCAATGCAATCTGCCCTTCAAACCCCTCTTCCTCTTCACCTTTAAAACTCCTGTCTTCTTCATGCTTCATCCTGAAGGCCATTCTCAGGTACTGTGTCTAATGTCTGTGTTTCATATAAGTCATGAGCTCCAGGAGGGCTAGAACTCTTCCCATTTGCCTGTCTGTCTCCAGAGTCACAAAGGCATGGTTCATATCGAGCACCCAGTAACTGTTGGGTAGTTTCAAGTAATGGGCAGATAAACTAAGTATTTTTTCTTAAACTTGGCTATAAATGTGTTTACATAGTAGAAAAGTAAAAGTCGCATCTCTGTCTTCATAAACAGTAAAAGTAGATGAATGCATAAACAGGTACAAAAGCCAGAAGAGACATGTAACTGCCTGTTGAAAGGGAACAAGACGTATCTTGGTTCCAAGTGGCTACCTGTTGCAAGAGGACAAGATATGTCCTTGTTCCATGTTTGTGAACTTTGTTCTTCTTTAAATTTCTGCTCGATGCTTCTGACAATTCATAGCTCTTTGGCCCAGGGCAGTAACAGTGACAAATAAGAACTTCTGTGTCGAAGCCTGTTTCAGGGCCCAGCAAGATGTCTCAGTGGATAAAGGTGTTCGCTGAGAAGCTTGGTGACCTGAGACCAATCCCCAGATTGTATGAGAGAGCTGAGTCCAGCAAGCTGTCCTTTGACACCCATCCCTGCCACACATACTACATAAATAAATGCATAAATATTCTTATTTGCACAGCTATTTTTATCAGTGTCTCCTTTTCTATTATTTGTCCTTTGCTCCAACCCACAGCCAACCTAATCACTGGGGACAGAGTTCTTCACTTCGTGTTCACAGGGAGAAGAAATCAAAGTCGTGTTTAAATACATGCAGTCTAGAAGCTGAAAAAAAAAAAAAAAGAATCTCAAAAGACTTAAAAAAAACAAGTATAAAATAAATAGCGATTCAGCAGCTCTGTATTGGTTCCTTTTCATATTACTGTGGTACAGCACCATACAAAAACAAGTTAAGAGAGAAAAGGTTTGGCTTG